CGCCCAACCCCGATCTGCCGTTCCTGAAGTTATTTTTATCCTGTTACCTGCATGGTGTCACCCCCTCCCTTCCCTTCCCTCCAGCCCTGGCTGCACACACACGTCGGTGTTGCAGAGCAGGCAGAGCCATTTCCTCCCCTCAGCAAGGGAAGAGCAGCGCTCCGCCGGGAGCGGGTGCCGGGGTGTCTCTCTCTCCCCAGCAGAACCCCCCGCCCCGGCCAACTTCTTCTTCATCTCGCCTTCGCCCCCCGCCTTGTCCTCAGGGCAGCCCCTCCCTCGCCCGGCGACAACTTCGCTGCTGCCAAAGGTGCCCCCGCCCGCTGGGATCGAGCACCTGCTCTGGGGACGAGGGTGCCCCCGGTGAGGCCCCAGGTACCCCCTACCCCCGAGCCCTTGGAAAGGCGGCTGAAGGTGCAGCTGGGGAGGGGCASTAGCGCTGTGGCAGCCCTCAATGGTGGAAGGGTAGTGGGGTTYAGAGATAAGACCACCCTCCTTCCAATTAAATACAGATTAAAAAGAATAAAACCACCCAGCACCCCCACCCCTAACCACTCCATCGAAATGAGGTGGGAGGGGAAAGGAAGCAGCCCCTGATCCAGAGTGCTTCTTCCAAGTGGGAGCGAGTCTGCAGCACATGCATTCAGCAGACATAATTGGGCTGCTCTTCCTGGTCCAGAGCTGATAAAGTGGATGAAGAGCTCAGCCTCCATAGCAATATGCCAACACTATGGCAACCTAAATCTAGCTCCCTCCTTATCAGCTGCAGTGATTATATAATTGGAGGAACAGTTTTGCATCTGTCTCTTGATGTGGATTGTCATKACACCCAGGTGAAAGAGCTACTTCTAAGGCAAACAAAATCAGCCAGGTGGAAGAGTGTTCTGTTCCCTGATAGTGCTCAGGCTGCCATTTATTTACAATCTATTTTATACAAACAGCACCTGAAAGGTTAAATTGATCAGTAGTCAAGAAAACCTGGTGGTGAGGAGATGGGAGCAAACCAATCACARTGTGGAATGGAGCCATTAAAGCAACCACAGATTGCCAGTTGCAAGGTAGTGGAAGGAATGGAGTGGATGGTGAAGCTAGGTCTATGATCCTGGTCTGCTCTTCACTTCTGATGTGGAAGACTGATTTGTATYGGTCCTTACTCTTGCATCCTGCTCAGTTGGTGGCAGCAAGGTGAATGTTCCAGGTGGAAGTTTTTGATGTCTGTTCTTGAACTGTGACTGACGTGAGTAGGCCTCTGCCAGCAGTTGCTCTCTGCACAGGTTCTGRTATCAGTCAGCCCCTTATCAGCCTACCTGAGCAGCTTTCACACCTGCGGACCTGCTCTAATGKGGCTTACTTAAATAAATAAATAAAGCATAGAGAGGCCATTAGTTACATTGTGAAGGCTGGGGGGAAGAGGAATTGTATTTGAAGGAGTTCTGTTGACTTCTTAACTGCTAATTTAGGTAGGTTTGTAATACACTTGTTTTACACTTCTGAAGGTAACTAGGTATCCTGATAAGTATTTGACCCTAAAGTAAGAATTTCCTCATTTTTTTTTTTGGATGTAAAGCCTACTGCACTTCCATTGCAGTCTCCTTGCACAAAAGCAAGTATATTGTATGTTATTTGTTTATGCTGAGACATAATGTTCATTTTTTGCTACATAACAGAGTTGAATTTTTTTGTAATAATTATTCATTAATACAGTTTATGTTTGTCTAGAAAATGATAAACCCAACCCAAGAAGCACGGGCAAAAGCTTCCAAAACTAGCTACATCACATCTARCGCATTTGTGGGACTGGGTGGAATCCTAAAAGAGCATCTTTAATGCGTTCCGTTGTAATACTTTGAAAACTTGCTCTACTGATATGAAATAGAAAATCAATTCGCAAGCCCACGTGTTGCAGCCCCCTCCAGGGAGGGAGCGGAACGAACCGGTCTGGCCCTGGGCTTGGCGCTCCGGTTCTCCAGCGCTGCTCAGACACCCGGTTAAATTCGCTGCTGGCCGTGCTGGTGCCCGGTGGGATGGATGCTGGGCAGATTGGCCGATCAGGCAGGAAAGGAGCCAAAGGCAGCATTTTGGCGGTGGTTTTCAGTGCCGGGGATGGGGTGGGGAGGGGAGCGGGGGTCCCGGGCTGCCTCTCCCGGAAGGTGGCACTGCAGGGCCGCGCAGCCCGGCGGCGCTCGCTGGGGCTCGGCAGGAGGCACTGCCCGGGCTGCTGCAGCCAGCCCGGCTCTTCGGGAGCAAAGGCAGATGYAGCACTGAGACCTAAGTGCCTATCCCGGAATAAAATTCATTAGGATTGAAGAGCCCCTGGTAGGTCATTTATTCCGTATAGTAATGATCCTCTGAGTGAAAAGCCATTTCTGATACCGTGTCTGAACTACCCTTCCTTCAATTTCGGATAATGCCTTTGGGCTTTGTCCTTATTGCATATTTTGAACAGATTTCTACCTGCTGCTTGTAGAAAAGAACCCCCTCAGGTATTTGTCAACCATAATTAGGTCTTCTTGCAACCTCCTTTCCTAACCTGCACATACCCTGTTCTTGAAATGTTTCCCTGTAAGACACTCTTTTCATAGTCCTTGTATCTCCTGTATCTGTTAAATTAAGAACTAATTAGTATACCCTTTATTTCTCGGAAGGCTATTGATAGCGAGAGGGTCAAGTCACAAGCATGGTCCCCARTGCATTTTCTGACCTGAAATGAGGGTCAAACCCACAAATATTCCCCTTAATTTTGCAGGTATAAATAGAGATGATTGTGTACACTTCACAGCTGATTTCAGCTGAAGGGCTCAAATCTGTCTCATGCTGTGCTACAAAACAAAACCATTGGCTATAGGCACTAGAATTTATTGGATGTTTGCTTTAATTTTCTGCTCTATATTCAGAATAACAGTTTTATTTCCTGTTTGTTTTGGGGCAGTGCTTTCATGTGTAGGAGCAACCAGGCTCTTTCCATGGGGGCAAAGTGACCAGATTAGCAAACTTTGTCTTCATTTTGGAGTATTGGTTCTTGTGCTCTTGTTTTGCTGTAGAGGTTGGTCAGAATAGGCATTAGTGGTGGGGCATAAAGAATACCTGTATGTGGTCTGAAACAGCTTATCTTTGGGGTTTTTTGGAGAATGTGAATCATGGTTTAAAAATGCAGCACTAGAATTCCAACCTCCTCTGATTTGACAGTAAACACTTGTATTTATGAACTATTATGTTCCATCTCAAAGCACTTGGAACTTTTGGTTGGTGTAAAGCATTTAATTCAATATAATATGAAATAGCAGTGTAACATAAAAATATTTAATATAATGTTAAGTAATAGTACTTAAACATTCCATGTGATACAGCACTGGATTTATTTGTTAAAGTTGCTGGTAGAGCCTTCAGAAAAGTATTTAAGTGCTTTCAAGCATTTCCTATCCTTTAAATTCCATGCCTTTAGCATGATACTTAAATACTCCTTTTAAGTATATATGTTTGAAAGGTTTTCTTTGAAATTATCTTCAGTCMCAGAGACCAGTTTTGGGTAGGTCATCGTCAGTGTTCCTGCTGACTGATTCTTCCTGAAGTTTGTGCTGCTGCCGTGAACGCTTACCTGAKCTCTCTGCATCCAAAGCACCTTTATGAACCCACTCTTTCTTGCACATCTACCATCAAAAAGGTTTTTGGGGTTACATCTGAGTAATTCACTACAGCAGATGCAAAACAGCCATGCCTTGTGGAATTAATTTATCCTGCCAATATATTTACTTGGAATTATTTGTCATCATCTTTTTGTTTTGTTTCCTTGAAACCCTTCAGAGAACATGTCCTATAACCACAGTGTCACTRTATATGCTTAGTTTTGTGGAAAGTGGTTCTACATCCACACTTAAAATAGGATTTATCTGAATGCAACCCTTGAAYTTACTTCTGGTGTGTGTGCGTGTGTGAATTGTCATTGTGGCCATCAACCTGCTAGGAAGTGTCTTGCTTAACCCATTCTGGGAAATAATGAAAGAAAAGAGTCATTCAAGTTCAGGAATAGCAAATAAAAGATCTCTCCTAAGCAAGTGTTCTCTAAAATTACTGACTATCAACCAGCATAACAGATGTGACTG